TGTGTCCTGCTGTAGGTCTTTCTTTTCTTTGTGCATTTTGCTCGATACTAAGTGGGCCCTTCTGCTATCACACTTCATTTCCTGGAGTTCAGGGGAAGTTTCTTAGAATACTCCTTTGACAATTTTCTTTTTTTTCCCTCTTCCTGGGATGCCTTTATATTTAGATGATGACTTTTAGATTTTATCCTGTAATTTCCTTGTTTGAGGTATCCTGCACTCCATTCTTTTGTATTTTAGCTCTACTTTCTGAGAAATTTGTTTAACACTATCTTTCAACTTTATCTTAAACATCTTATTTCAGTAATTTTTTAATTTCAAAGAGATTTCCTCTTCTCTCCTTGCTTTTTGTTTTTTGAGCCATCTGTTCTGTATGATAGGTGTCTTATCTTCTCTTATCTCTAAGAATATTGTCTAGTTTTTCTGAAGAATTTTTCCTGCAGTCTGACTTGATTCTTACTCATCTGACTACCTTCTTTATATATGTTGGTTTAGATTTGTTTTTCAGGTTATACGCGTTCCTTGAATATTTAGTATTTGTTAAGCACTTAGTGCTTATGTAGCTTTCCGTAATGTATAAGATTCCAATATTTACTGGAAGACTTTTGTTCTTGTGTAGCTACTAAGTAGTGCACCTCACCTTGAGGTAGTCGAGGGAATTAGTCAGTTTATTTGAAGATTTCCAGGCTTCAGTTAAGTCTTTTCCTCTGGCTGCTTACTTTGTCCAGAGAGGAAGGTTCTTCCCTAGGAAGCACAAGCTTTTCTGTCCAGTATCCTAGGGGCGAAGTGGAGCGGAGAGGTCGAGGGCTGGTGGTTGAGTACCAGTACTGCGGAGTCTCGGTCTCCCTCACTGTTCTCTTTGCACAGCCCCTTGTTTTGTTTCTTCCACAATTCAGGTGATGCCATGTGCTCTTTCGGATCTGCTTTTGTTCATTATATTTTATGTCTTCAGGCTCCTCCCTGTTAGTGTGTCAGTTCATTTTCTTTTACACTGAGTAATTCTACTAAATAAATTTATCATAGTTGGATCTGCTAATGGACATTTGGGCGTGTCCAGTTGAGGCTAATGCAAGTACAATTCTATGAACATTCTCAAACAAATATTTTAAAGATACTTGTTTACATTTCTCGTGGGAAAATAGCAGAGTAGGATTTCTTGGTTATAGAGTAGTATTTGTTTAACTTTGTAAGAGCAGCACATTGTCACCAGTATTCACTGTTGTTGAACTTTTACGAATCACATCAGCTCTTGCAGAGGGTTTAAAGTTGCACCTCGCCAGGATGTCATCTGCATCCCCTGATGACTAGTTGTGGTGAGCACCTTCCATGTGCTATTGGCCGTTCAGTTATCTTCTTGTTGGAGATACCTGTTCAGCCTTATGCCCATTGTAATTGGATAGTCTATTGTTCACTTATAGGAATTCCTTATGAACTGACCCCTATTACTATGCAATGTCCCTCTTTATTTGTAGCAATACGCTTTATCATGAACTTCGCTCTGATATGGTAGCCACTCCAGGTTTCTTACATTTACTGTATGCCTGGTATCTCTTTTTCCATACCTTTATTTTTAATTTATCTATGGACCTATTTAAAGTGTATCTTTTGAGCCTAGAGGCAAAAAGCACCTCACACTGGGATCGTGCTCTCTGAATGCTGCTCCTCCATTGAGTGTATCAGGCTCATGGGGGACAGGATTACCTCTGGGGCTGAGAGACGAATGCAGAAGCCAGCCTGGTACACCACGCATGCAGATGTGAGGAAATGGTGAAGAAAATGATGGGACAAAAAGCACATTAGGACTCACTTGACGTGACTCCCAGCAGCCAGATCTTTGACAACTTGAGTAACAAAGTGAGAGGCAGTAATGGCTTATATGTCAGAGGGTAAAGTAGTATTCCTGAGTCCATGCTGCTATAACTAATTCAATGCATAAATGGGAGGAAGAGGAAAGTTCTTTTTTTCAGCCAAATTCTAATCAATTCATGTAGAAGGAGTGATGGCAATGCCAGAAATAGAAAATTACCATTTGGCAGATGTGACATCAGTAATTACTGCAAGCAAGCCCATTGCCTGCGGTTAACATTGGGGACGGAGAATGATGAGAAGCAGGTTATCAGTGTTTGTTCCATGATACTGCTAATTCTGGAGGAAAAGATACTGACCTTAAAGGAGGCAGTCTAGCAGCCACCAGATGATCAGTTAATATCCCCACTAACAGGACCAGCTGGCCTCCTGTGCCTTCTGCTATGATCCTGTGAAGAACACAAGCATTACTTTTATGATATTGTTGCAAAAAATGTACATCTAAATGTAACCATAAGGAAATACTAGGCAAACTCAAAGTGGGGTGTCTCTTATACCTACCTAGTACTAGTCTTATAAAATGTCAAGCTATGAAAGATTTAAAAAGATTGAGATAGTCGGGCATGGTGGCATATGCCTATAATCCCAGCACTCAGGAGGCTGAGGCAGGAGGATATCCACAATTTCGAGGTTGGCCTGGGCTACATAGTTCAAGGCCAGCCTGGAGTGGGACCCTGTCTCAAGAAAACAAAACAAAACAAAAGACAAACACACAACAACAAAAAAAGACAGATATTTTCCAGAGTAAAAGGAACTAAGGAGACAGGACAACTAAGTGCAATGTGTGAGTTTGAATTGGGCCCTGGACTAAAATTAGTGGGACAATTGGTGACATTTGAGTCTGACCTGTGGATGAGTTAGTGGTATTCCTGATTCTGATCATTGTATTACAGCTAACATTTGGGAAGCTGGGTGAAAAGTATAAGTGAGTTCTTAGCACTATTTTTGTAACTTTTTGTGAATCTGAAATTATTTCAAAATAAAAAAGGATTAATCAAAATATGTTAAAATAATAATAGTGGTGGGTATCTTTTGTAGATACTGCACGGTGAGGTCTTTCATTCTTTCCAGTCTGACGATCTGTCTTTAACTGGAGTATATGGTTTGTCATCCTTAGTTCTCAAAATGTGCTATTTATTTCCATTTGTCCCATCTGTTTTTTCTTTCCTTCTTCCTGCTTCATTTTGGGTCAATCAAGTATTTGTAATATTGCATTTTAATTCTTCTCTTTGCTTTTTAGCTCTGTGATTAATTAATGGTGACCTCATCTAAATCACACCACTTCATATAAAATATGTACAAAAGTGCAGGTCCGTTTATGCCTTGTGTCTTGTGTGATGTTGTATCACCCTGAGAGCTGTTAGACTCGTGTAGGGTGTGTTGTCTGTAAACAGCAGTGTGTCTGTCCTCTGAGAGGTGGAGGGCGGTTCTCTGTTTTTAAGTACACACTTGCTCACCATTTTCAGGCCCTCACTCCTCCTGTGGTCTGACTTCCTGTAGCGTCCTTGCCCTGCTAGTCTGCCAGGGAGCATTTTCAGCCTCATTCCCAGCGGCCTCCTCGTTTTCCTTTCGTTTTGAAGGGCGTCTCTCACTGGGTACCGAGTGCGATACGCTTTTCTCTTTTGGCACTAACAGATGTTGCTCCGACTTTTAGCGCCCTCATATTTGATGAGTTTCCAGCTACCATGTAACTTGTTCCCTGTGTGGAATGTGTTGTTTTTAATCTGTTGTTTCCGAGATTTTGTTCACCTTCCAGCATCCAACAATGTTGTACTTATTTATGTATTCTTTATATTTATGCTGCCTTGGCTCACTGAGCTTATTGAATATCGAGGTTTCTGTTTTTCCAAATGTAGAAACATTTTACCTGCCTCTTCTCCTTAAATATTTTTTTGCCTCTTCCCCTTAAATATTTTTCTACACTGCCACTCTCTTTCTGGGTTTCCAGTTACACATTTGTTATACTGCTTGGAAATTTCTCACAAATCCTCTTTATTTTTCCTTTTGGATAAATTCAGTTAACCTATCTATGAGTTCATAAAATTTTTCCCCAGACACCTTCAGTCACATGTTAAGCCTATCCACTGACTTTTACTTCATGTACTGTATTTTTCAGTCTAAAATATACATTTGGTTCATTTTTATGGCTTTTGTCTGAGATTTCTCATTTGTTCATTCGTGAAGACTTTATTTTCTCTTTGTGTCTTTGAATATCCTTATAGTAGCTGCTTTAATTTCCCTGTCTGCTTATTCCAAGATCTTGCATTCGAACTTGTGGTTGGTTTCAGTTAATTACTTTTTCTCTTGATACTGCTTATACTTTTCTATTTCTTTGTGAGCTTATTGATTTCTTTTTATTGTGCACTCGATAGTGTATCTCATATGTAATGAAAACAGTGGATTTGATTATTTTTCCCTGAGAAGCCCTGATTTGTGTTCTCGTGAATGAACTGGGCTGCACTCCGATGCTGTCTCCCCTAAGTAACATAGGCCCTCCCGGGGAAGAGGCCTCTCTTGGGGACCTGGTCTCTCCTGTGGTCTGTCCTGGGGACGTGGTCCCTCCTGGGGACTGCACCAGGTGCTGTCCCCAGCCCTCAGCCTTGCAGCTCTTGCCTTTCCTGTGCAGCTCAGGGATAGACTAGGGGTTTGTAGAGGTGGACAGAGGCCGAGGGCGCTGGAGGTGTCTGTCTTTCTGGGGTCCACTCTCATTTTCCAGGTTTGCTGTTAACCCCACTTTTGATCTGGCTCCTGGAACCAGCAACACTGCGATTTCTGCTCACATCTCAGGCTTTGTGGCACGCCGACTGTGGAACATGAGCTCACTACGGTGGTCCCTTCTTTCCAGGCTGCCTTCCCTCCAATTTCTGCTTGGTTTTCTGTTGTGCTTTGCTCTCAAATCGTTATTTTTATTTTTTGTCTGAGTTACTACTATTTGCACAAGGGTTAATTGCATACATGCTACTCTGCCATTACCAGACGTCATAACTCTACTTTTCATTTTCTATTTTCCACTGATGACGCATAGTATTCAATAGAAAAACCTACATTTCTGTGAGTAATGGCAATATCTCATCAAAGTCTTCTGAAGGAATTAAGCACAGTACTAATCACTAATCTTATTTTTTCTTCTTTTACAGACAAGAGATGATTTCCTAGGTCAAGTGGATGTTCCTCTTTATCCACTACCGGTTGGTATAGTTGTGCACGATTTCGTTTTCTTGTATTTATTCTTTTTAAAATGTAATAAATAGGGCTGGGGATTTAGCTCAGTGCTTCTGCCGCCTGTCTCGAAAGTGCAAGGTCCTGAGTTTGATCCCCAGTGCCAAAAATAAAAATAAATAAATAAATAAATAAAATGTAATAAAGACTTACATGTATGGTTAACATAAAGATTTATAGGGGCTGGGGATTTAGCTCAGTGGTTCCGGCACCTGCTTTGCAAGTGCAAGGTCCCGAGTTCAATCTCCGGTAAAAAAAAAAAAAAAAAAAAGACTTACAAAGTTCATACTGCTTTTTTTCTTCAGTACATTTTCTGAAAATCCATTTCAGTTTTCCATGTCAGTCTTCTCTGTGGCACCTCCTTACCTGCAGCCTCATGAGGCGCAGACAGCCGAGGACTGTACCGCCCAGGCCAGGTGTGGAGCAATGGAGGACAGCAGTCAGACTGGGGAGCACTTCTGAATGACACATCTCTAGATCAAGGGTTTGGCATGGGATTTGACAGACAAAAGCAGAAAGTAAATAGTACAAACTGAACTTGGAAGATGAAGGTGGCGTCATAAGTAGGAAAAGACAGTTCTTTGAAATACAAGAAATTTATTTTTGCACATAGCAAATATCAATAGAAATGTAGTACTGAGAAAAAAGGGAAGAAAAGAAGAGGAAGGAAGGGAGCGAGGGAGAGAGGGGGGGATGAGGGGTAGAAACTGACAGCCCTGGCACGGTTGGGCCAGAGGAGAGAAGACAGGCAGGGGAGGATGGGAAAAAGCCAGGTGGGTGAAAGCATGAGACCCTGGAATGCGCTTACGACAGAGGGGAGCCGACAGCAGCACGGAGTGCAGGTAAGGAAGTAGACAGAGGCCTGCTGCACTCTCCAGAGAGAAAGGCCTCCTTCTTTGGCTGGTCCCTGGGGTGCAGGGACCACAAGTCATGGGCAGCCCACTCAGCCAGGCCCTTGCCAGGCTGCTGAGGGCACGGGTGCCCTCTTGCCTGAGGGTAGCACCTTCCCGCTGTCACCTCCTGTGCTGTCCCCTGTCCCCATGCTGTCCCTGTCCCTCAGCCTGCTGGCCGCTGCAGTGCTGCTACCTGCTCAGCTCAGCTCAGTCCAGAGGGCAAAATCACCAGGGTGGCCATTTGGTAACTAAAATCACTCTGTCTTCTAACTCCAGTTATGCTTAGATCACGGCTTGTGAACGTTCTTTAAGAAGTACATGATGTTTGTGTTAAAGTTGTCTCTTGAAAACCCACTGTTTTATTCTAGACAGAGAACCCAGGAATGGAGAGACCATATACATTTAAGGATTTTGTTCTTCACCCAAGAAGGTCAGTAGCGCATTCAGGGTTTTATCTCTGGCTAAACCTTACTGTAGCCCCTTTGGAAATACAGGGTTTAAACCCTTATAAATAAGCTACTAGTGAAATAGTATTATTTTTAAGCTTTATTGTTATTTCTGATTTTAAAATACCATTTGCACATTCTGAAGATACAGAAACAGATCCTGCCCTTTGGGAAAGATTTGTTCCAACATCAGACCAGAAAGCTGAAACTCACTGTGATATGTATTTTGTATCTGAAGCTATATACAATTTTGTCATACTATGCTTTAAAAATTCACAAACATCATTTAAAACAAAGATCCAACTTGACATGCTCAAAGCCAATTTCAGGGAAATCTAACTGCATTTTGCATTCTTTAATTTTTAAACATTATTTTAGAAGCATTTAGAGAAAATCACACAAATGGAGGCTGGAATTTAAAACCCAAATAGCAAATTTATCATTCCATTTTCCTAAACTGAATTACCTGATTTTTGTCAAAATTTTAAAACTTTTAATCTTCTGTACCACACAGTCAAGTAAAATCTAATCAAAATGTGTGTGGATTTATTGTCACAGAGCTCAGAGTCAACAGAAAAAGGACAATAGTATTTGTCTTGTTTTTTAAACTAGAAAATGCCTTTGAAAAATGGAACTTAGCAAAATTTTTCACTTAAAATGACTTCTTTAACTTATTCTTCATAATATAAATATAAAACAAAATGAAAGACAGTGTTGTGACTGTTCGTGTCCACTCTGCCTCAGAGACATCATGTATTTAATTCAGCAGGAGTCTAGGAGCCCAGTCTCGTCTTCATTCAATTCCAGACTGATTGTGAATCTGCACACCAACAACCACTGGCCAAATGTTCTTCTCTTTTTGAGTGTGCTAGTAGCCTGCTTTTCAATTATGAGATGTTTTTTACTATCTTTCTTTTACAAATAACACTTTATGTCTTCTATATCTGCACTGGGTATGGTCTCAAGTGCAGAAAGAACTTTATTTAGTTAGGAAATGTACTATATTCCCATATTTGAGGCCCACTAAGTCAACCATGGGCTTATATTCTGCTTGGGAAGATGGGAAATGCAATCATGGAGACATTTTCTGCAGAACGTTACCTGAGCCTTCCTTACCCATCCTTTGCAGCAGCGGTCAGCATGCCTCCCTCATCTGAGGAAGCCACATCTCTGGCCTTGGAAACAAGAGCCAAGGGTTTTCCTGACTACTCAGGACAGGGAACACTAAATTTGCCAAAACCATGAGAACTATACAGAGAACAAATAAAATGATGTGTGGAGGGGTAACTGCTCAAAGATGAAATAAAAGATCAAAACGCTGTTGCCTAGAAAGGCAAAGAATAGTTGGTTACATAACTGCCATCTATAAAATCTTAATAAAAGATCAAAACACTGTTGCCTAGAAAGGCAAAGAATAGTTGGTTACATAACTGCCATCTATAAACTCTTTTTTTTTTTTGGTACCGGGTATCAAACTCGGGACCTTGCACTTGCAAGGCAGGTGCCAGAACCACTGAGCTAAATCCCCAGCCCTGCTCTCTATAAAATCACCAAAATTAAAATATAAACTATATAGAAAGCTAGGAACAATAAGTATTTCTTAAGTAATCCTTAGGATGCTTGAATTGGTGGAGGCAATAGAAAAGATAGAATTAAGCTTTAGAAGCTTATGAAAGGCAATTTTTAAAAAAGATTAAAAACATGACCGCAATGGACAGGAGCCTTTAGCTGGGTGACCCATTATGGAAAAGAAGAAACACAGTGTGAAGACCCATGAAGAGACCCACAAACCGCAGGGTCTTTTCTGTCTCCTGCACTCAGTGGCAGTCATGCCCCGTGCAGTCTCAGAGGGTGCCTTCCCTGTCCCAGAAGGTCTGGGTGGCGCCCGACATGTGTAAGAGAAGGCTGCCATTCAGGCTTCGCACACCCCTGTTGTCTGGACTGTCCCTACCCCAGCGCCCCGGAGGGGCCCTGCCCCAGCCACGCATGCCTCCTGCCGATCCCCGAACTGACCCAGCTCCCTGTCACTCTTCCTTTCCCTCCACTGCCAGAGATCAGAATCCTCCCGGCCTCCCAGTCCCAGGCCAGATACCAGCTCTCCCTTGAAGCACTCTCTACTCCTTTACTTGAACTTCCTTAGCCTCTGTTTGTTTTGTTTTGTTTTTTGAGACAGGGTCTCGCTGTGTAGTCCAGGCTGGCTTTGAACTCACTATGCAGCCCAAGTTGTCCTCAAACTCAAGGTGCTACAGGTGTGCGCCACCATGCCCAGCTCAGCCTCTTCTTTATACCACAATTATTCACTACATGTGTTTCCTTTTCCTCCGCCACCTCCTCCTTTTCCTGAATGTCTTCTACACTGGAACTTATTTTTCAATCTCTTCTAGGAAATCCCTAGTAGCCAGTAAGTGTTCAGTAAACTTAGTAAATAATACCTCCTGCCTAGTGTTAACATTTTGTGAATAATTCTTTTCTTTTCTGCAGTCACAAATCAAGAGTGAAAGGTTATCTGAGATTAAAAATGACTTATTTACCTAAAACCAGTGGCTCAGAAGATGATAATGCAGAACAGGCTGAGGAATTAGAGGTGAGATTTTATAAATATTTGGTTAAACTGAAAAGAAAATATCTAACTTTGTTTTACTATATTTCAAAGAAAAATAACTTTATTCAATGAAGTTGATGTGTGCCCCAAAATCATTTACTCAGACATTTTATTTCCCCAAGCATCCATTAGCAGTTCCTTTTCCTCTGCAGGTCTCTTTACAATGAAGGCCCCTCCACGGCCTCCTTACAGTTTAGGAAATAGAGAATACAATATTTATAAATGAAAGTGTGTGTCATGGTCAAATTGTTAGGTGTTTCAAGTCTCTAAGAGTTTTCTAAAACCATGTCATGTTCTCTCTTAAAACAAGAACACAATTTAGATTTATAAGTTAAGTGTATGGGCCCTTTGGGAGTCTCTACATAAGGCCTTTCATAACTCATGGTTTCTGTTACTTCTCCTACTGTGGGAAGCCTCAGTGAAGAGGAGGAAAAGAGAGGGGACATCTGTGTGAGTAATAAAAAGCCACATTTATCTGACACCTTAGGGCCACAAGACAGAGGAAAGTCCACGCCAAGTTCAGGGTAGCACTCGAGTGGGTGGAGAGGCGGCTGCACCTCTGTCACGGCCGGAGGGGCCTGGGAGCAGAGCCCTAGGCGAGGTCCAGTGGCCTCTGTGGTGGGGCTCCTCCTCCTCGGAGGGCCGCAGGCTGCGCCCAGTGACCACCTCTGGGGCGGCTTCTTCCCCAGAGATTCCTGACCTGAGATGGGGACAGGCCCTGCCCCTTGAGGTCCCTCAAAGGTAGGCTGGTCACAGCTGGCCACATCTGTCCAGCATTTGGCACCCTTTTGCTTCAAAGGTTCCTTCCTGTGCTTCCCCAACAGTCTTGCCCCTAACTGGGTGCCCGCTTTGGTCTCTGTACGAACTGGAGCCAAGGGATGTCTCCGAGGGCTGGATGCCCTCGTGTGGCCATGCCCCGAGAGGAGGCCCAGAACGGGGAGCAGATTTGCAGCATGACTCTCGGGGATTTTAAAAAATGCATTAGTGAGATTTCACTTTGAGGAGTAATGTATAATAATAGAAAGAACAAATTTTGTTTCTTCAAATCATAGAGTATAGATAAAACCCCTACTTTGGTGAGCAAAGAAGAGATCCTCTCAAGTCTGTATTCACTTATTTGATTTTTTTTTGGTACTGGGGATCGAACTCGGATCCTTGTGCTTGCGAGGCAGGCAGTGCAACCACTGAGCTAAATCCCCGCCTTTTTTTTTTTTTTTTTTGAGACAGGGTCTTGCTATATTGCCCAGGCTGCGCTCGGGCTTCCAGGCGTATACCACTGTACCCGACTTTATTACCTTTCTTCCTATTAGTTTTTCTCTGGTTTTTCATATAGTCATTACTTTTAAAATTTTAAGGTATTTATTGGGTAGAAGCTTGGTGCACAGGATATCTTGCATAATGGAATTATGTTTGAAATGAAAAATGTCTACTGTAAAGAAAAAATATTGCAGCTGGGCATGGTGGTACACACCTTGGGAGACTGAGGCAGGAGGATTGCTGTGAGTTCGAGGCCAGCCTGAACTACATAGTGAGACCACCTCAAAAACTACACACACACACACACACACATACACACACACACACACACACACACACACACAGAAAATATTCTAATAACTTTTAAAAATGAACAGCATCTCATTGCTTAGTAGCTTGCTCTGGGCTTTGCCCTCATGCACAGATCGTAGGTCCTGGTCCCGCTCACAGCTCAGGCCTGTGGGCAGCAGTCTCCTCACCCTGCAGCCTGGAGTCCCACTGTTCAGATCCCCTCAGATGCACCTGTGATTTCAGGAGTGTGAGTGGGAGGAGTTTATTTATGAGAGGCCCTAGCAATTCAAACACATGAGCCTGTGCTCAGTTATCTTCTGGGTAGCTGACATCTAGTTTGTAACCAAATATATCAAAGTCTATCTGAAGAAAATAGTTGTAATTTTGAAAAGAGGCTCACTTGTAGGCAGTCTGTGTTCCCTAGTAAATTGTGGCTGAGATAGGTAACTATGAGACATGGGATTTTGCACCTGATGCCACTTTAGGGTCCACTGTTTGTATTCTCTGAGGTCAGTGACTGATGTGTGCAGAGCTCCAAGCCTTCCGCCCGACTCCAGCAGCTGCGTGTTAGTGCTCTAAGTTCACTGTTTCTTAGAAACTTGCTTTATGAAAAATAGTAGATGATAACTGTTCAACAAGAATTCTACTTAAACAATGAAAACCTACTTTCTAAATGATATTTGAGTGTACAACTGTACCTCCTCAAATTTTAAACAGGCTTTTTAAAAAGGTTCTAATCAATTAAAAAAATTTTTTTCTTGGATATACTTGGATAGCAAAAAGCAGATCTTTAAGAGAGAAAGCTTAAATTTTCTTTTGTTTGTTTTGTTTTTTGTGGTACTGGGGATTGACATAGGGTCTTCTCATAGAGCTACCTTCTAGGCCTTTTTTGTTTTTTTGGTTTTTGAGACAAAGTCTCAGTAAGTGACTTAAGTTGCTTGGGCTAGGTTTCATAGTCAAACTTACAGAGATATTCTTTTTGATGCCTTTCAGGTTTGAGGTCATATTCAACAGCTTCTTATTCTTGGAATATATTTTTTAAATTTTCCAAAATTTGTTCTAATACTTTTTGGGTTTATTCTCCAACATCTAAATATTATTTAGTCTAGCTGGGTGTGATGGTGCATGCCTATAACCCCAGACTCTGGGAGGCTGAGGCAGAAGGGTCAAATGAAAAAATAAAAGCTCTGGGGATGTAGCTCAGTGCAAAAGCCCTGGGTTCAACCCCCAGTGCCACAAAAAATTAAGTAAAATAAAATAAATATTACTCAACCTGAGTCAGGGGTGGTATGGTGTGTGGCCAGGAAGACTGCTTGAACCCTGGAATTTGAGGTCAGCCTGGGCAGCATAGCAAGACCCTGTCTCAAAAAGTACAATTATTACTCCATCTGAAACTTGCCCTGGTAAAAGGAATGAGGTAGGGGGCCAATTTAAAAAAATTAATAGGTGGCCATTTTCTAAGCAATTTGCTGCCTTCCCGCAGATTTGAAATTTATCATCTGCTGAATCCCTGTACATGTGAGTCTTTCCAGTCCATTCTTTTGAGCCATCTGTTTTTGCATGCAACATGGCCCCACATGGCTCACTCTTGTAATTTTTGTTTTGTTTTTGTAGTGCTGGGAATTGAGCCCAGGACCTTTGCACTGAGGTCCCCAGCCCTTTCTATTTTTTTTATTTTGAGATTGGGTCTCACTAAGTCACTAGTTGCCAAGGCTGAGTTTGAACGTGGGATCCTCCTGCCTCAGCCTCCCAGAGTGCTGGGATTACAAATGTGTGCACCACAGTCCGTTTTAACAATTACAGTTTATAATGTTTACTCTGTTGGGTTCCTGTCCACTCATTGCTCTTCTTTTTTTAGAATAAGCCTAGTTATTATTCCTAGTTTGCATTTCTATTTGAATTTGGCCATTGGCTCGTGCTATTATTTTAAAACATCCGTGATGTAGTTTTATCATAATCTTGGCAAATTTATAGATCAACTTGGGAAGAATTGACATCTTCGTGAGGCTGGGTCTTCCTAGCCTGTTTTCATTCATTCTTTTAGGAGCATCTTAAAATTTTCTTTACTAATTTATTTCAATTTGCAACACTTTCATAACGTACAGGTATTTAATAAAATACTTTGCCTGGTACCTCTTCTGTTGTAAGATTTCTCATATAAAATCATGTCATTAGCTCTTACTGCCCTTTTGGTTCCTCACTTTACCCTAGCCAAGGCTTGATGTGTATTTCGTTTCTTGCTAGACTCAGAGAAACCAAATTCCCGGGGTATCTGTTTCTCGGTCTTTCTTTGCCTGCTTTATGACCTGAGCAAAGTGGGCCAAAATGGTCAGGTCATAAAGCCAGGAAGGCGGGGGGTGGGGGTGGGGGGGTGCGTCGGGCAGGAGCCAGAGGCTTCCGGTTGCTGCAGTGCTCTGCGGCTCGGCGTCTCAGTTCCCTTCGCTCTCATCTCACGAGCTGCCCGGCCTTGACCGTCTCTGCCATGTGTGGAGCTGATTTCCACCAGAAGCAGTGCCCCGTGATGAAGCAGCGACAGACCGGCAGCTCGCGATGACCCCAGCTTCGCACTGTTTGTTTATTTACGGGGACTTTTGGTCCCTTTTTTCGTGTTAGATATGATTTTAAACTTTTGGGGAAAATTTTGAAACATTTTCAAACAGTCCAAATGGTTATCATTTTGTGAAGAAAAGCTCACTGTCATGGAATATTCGTGTTTAGGACCTCGGAGTCGACGGTGTGCCGACTGTTGATGTGCATTTTCTGGAACGAAGGTGCCGCCTCTCTGCACTCTCTTCAGCACATGGCTTATAATTCTTCCCGGTTCCCTCATCTGTGTTTCAGCCTGGCTGGGTTGTTTTGGACCAACTGGACGCTGCCTCCCTCTTGCAGCAGCAGCAGGAACCGTCTGCCCTCCCTCCGGGGTGGGAGGAGAGGCAGGACATCCTCGGGAGGACCTACTACGTGAACCACGGATCCCGGAGGACACAGTGGAAAAGACCCAGCCCCCAGTACGTGCTACGGCTCTCACGTGTGTTTTAGACACTTGTTGGCCATGAGTTTCATTTTGAGTTCAGATCTCAGACAGACCCAGACTGGTGTAGGGACCCATTAAACTGTAAAGACTAGGGTGTGTGTGTGTGCTGGGGACCGAACCCAAGGTCTTCCCGCTGAGCTACACCCTCAGCCCTTATTTATTTTTCATTTTGATACAGGGCCTTACTAAATTGCTAACTTCCCCAGGCTGGACGTGAACTTGCCAGCCCCCTGCCTCAGCCTCCTGGAGTGCTGCGATGATAGATCTGTGACACCGTGCCAGCAGAAAACCAGGATTTTATAGCCCAGGCCTTGAAAAATGCTATCTCAGCCATATTTTTTTAACCTGACTTGATAGTATTCAGAATCATTTGATTTAATTGACTCAATTTTAATTAATTATTAATTATAAAGCTTAAAATGCTGCATTTTGTCTTTTGAAATTGGCTTAAAAGATCTTGGAAATTTTATAGTTTTTTTTGTTTGTTTTTGGTACTGAGAATCAAACTCAGGTCCTTGCGCTTGTGCAGCAGGCAGCAAAACCACTGAGCTAAATCCCCGGGCCAATTTTATAGTTTTTTATTAAAATATAATAACATGCTATTTCTGCAGTGCCCTATTTTTTTTTTCCAGTACCAGGGATCGAACTCGGGACCTTGCCCTTGCCAGGCTGGTGCAGTGCCACTGAGCTACGTCCCCAGCCCTAGCAGCGCTGTATTTCTAGAATATGAAATACTTGTAAAATAGAAAGGGCCTAGTAATAAAGGCCTCGTGTCTGCACCCGTTTGCAGTCTGGCCTCTGTACACACACCTTCCCTGTGCACAGATCAGACAGAATGGCCTCTGCTGTGCTCTGCTCGTGTCTCTTCGGTGATGTTTTGATTACCATCAGACTGGACGTGCATGTCCCAGATCTCTTTTTATCTTTGTTGTCAACCCTCCACCCCTTCCCCTCTCATGCAGCCTGAGATGGCTGTCTTTAGTCTCTGACTGTTGGATGCATTCTTACAGTTTTCTGAATTTGTCTGTTAACCTCCTAATTTTTGGTTCTGATATTTTGTATCTGATATATCCCAAGAATTTTCAAAGGTATTTCCTGTTCACAAAGCCTTCCAGAGTAAATCAGGGATCTAAGTCTTTCGTGGCAAAGAGGCGTTGATATCTGTATAGTGACTGACTGCAGAAGCAGAGACACTAAAATTCTGCAAAACCACCTGATTGCATCCTCCTTGTTATGGCCAGCTGGCCTGACCAGAACCCTGTTTCTTTTACTATGGCTGATGTCATTTCAGGTAGCAGAACTCAAATATTTAAGCAGAAAAAGCAATCTGAAACATCTGTCAGACTTGTGTTTTAACCAGCCACAGCGCCGTAAGAATCGATCTTCTCGAGTCTGGGGTAGGGGGACGGGCAGCAATACAAGGCACAATTTGGTAGAAAAGTAAGTTTTGATGGTTGTGGTTAATAACATGTACTGAACACTTGAAAAAGCTAGAAGATTCGAATGCTCTCACCACAAAGAAATTATAAATGCATGAGGTAAAGAATATGCTGTGCACTCTGATTTGATTATTAAACAATGTAAATATGTATCAAAACACCACCTAGTGTTTTGTACAATTATCATGGGTCAAGTTTTAAATATAATAATTACATATTGCTGCATAGCTATACCTTGTCTCAAAAATAAAAGAACTGGTTTTATGACTGTCCTGAGCTTAAATGATATTAAATAAGTTGATACTTTTGATATTAGATATTGGAACAGAACTCTTGATCTGAGAATCTGGTTATATTAAATGAAAATAACTGCGTAATACAGTGTAACTTAGAAATAACTGTGGTTTGTACGTTGTACCTTTCCTAAATTCAGGTGAGCCTTTGGTATTATCCTTTCCCACCACAGGCCCATACTTATTTACAAAATCAGGTACTGTTTAGCCCCGATCAGTTTCGCTTTTAGATCCAGAGCCCTTGCCCTGTCTTCCATTCTGTTCCCTATGCCAATGTGGGGAACTCTGCTCCTTTTTAAGACCGATGATAGCAAATACGTTGCCTGATTCATGGAGATGTGTGTGTGGCTTAAGAGCTACTGTAGATTTTACTCTTGTAGTAACATTGTAAAGTAATAATACGGTGACATTCTTAATATTTATGAGCACCTGTATGTGTCAGACATTATCCAAGGTACCGTGATGAACTAAATGTCAGGTGTGTTACACATTTTCACAGAACTTTACTCCCGAAGGTGCTCTGATGATGCCAGCATGCCCACAGTTTCTTGTGTGCTTCTTGAAATAGCCTTTGGCCAGCAACAGTTCTGATGTAATGTGCGTATTTGTTAATGGTTGCCTGTCATTCTGCCCCGAGAAGTGAGTGGTGCTTTGTGTGCTCCCAATGCAGGGACAACCTCACAGATGCCGACAGCAGTGACATTCAGCTCCAGGCACAGCGGGCCTTTACCACCAGGCGGCAGATATCTGAGGAGGTGGAAAGCAGTGGCATCAGGGAGTCCTCCGAGAGCTGGGAGATCATAAGAGAGGCAGAAGCCACAGTGTCCAACAGTCAGGCCTTCCCGCCACCTCCCCGCTCAGGCGCCTTGGACGTTCGGCCTCACCTTGCAGAAGAATTGAATCCCAGGCTCACTGTTCACAGAAATTCAGCCACCAGCCAGCCAGCATCCAGCTCAGTAAGAGGCCCTTGATTATGTTTTGCTTCAGGATTTTATATTACAAATATTATTCTGCTCAACAACTAACTTTTATGTAAAATTTTGTCTTCACTCGGAGGCTTTATAGAGATCATTCTTCAAACGTCCTGGGTAGTGACCTAGAGCAGGGAGTCCCAGTGGTCACTGGCATCAAGCGCCCCCAGCCCGAAGCCCGTGGGAGGCAGGAGCACACAGTCTTGGTAGTACATTAGAAACACGCACAGGGCCTGGGCACACGAGGGCTTTGGAGGAGGGCTTGGGACACAGGACAGTGTGGGCCTGGCGTGTTGACCAGGGGCAGTGGGCTCTGTAATTGTGGACTCCAGATCTTACTGGAGCAAGGCCGAGGCAAAGGTTAGCAGGGAGGAGCACCACGCACTGCCAGGGTAGGGAGGTATGTGGTTTTTGTAGTATGCACATTTGTCTGTGTTCAGACAAGATTATGGAGTTACCTTTTTTTCCTTCTACTACTGGGGATCAAACCCAGGGCCTTTGCACTGAGCCACACCCCCAGCCCTTTTTATTATTGTATTTTGAGACAGGGTCTCCCTAAGTTGCTGAAGTGGCCAGACTGGGCTCAGACTTGCAGTCCTCCTGCCTCAGTCTCCCGGACTGCAGGGATTGTAGGTGTGCACTGCTCGCGAATTCCAGGCTGGCTCCTGGACGTCAGGAGCTGCTTTTCTTCCTCAGTACTTAGGAGGCTCTAACTCCATATCACAAACGTCACTCACACTCATGTATGAAGGGGAGCCGCATGCTTTAATGGAGCGAGGAGATTGGTAACATTCTCACTCTGGTGCCGCTGTGGGAGTTGCTGTCCATAGTCCAGCCTAGGCTGCAAGATCCTCATGCATGGGACTGTTTCAGGAACGGACTCCTGAAATCACCAGAAATAGTCCTCAGACTTCTCCTCGTGTAGTGGAGCTTTACCTCGTCCAGTGCAGTGTCCTGCTGTGGTGGACTTCAGATTGTTTAGTTCCCTGCTACCAGACAATGCCTCCCTGGATATTCTGAATTAATTTATATGTGTATTATAAATTTGGATGTCATTTAATAGCAAAAGTAAGATATTTCAGTGGTAACGGCAGTCTGTATAAAGGCAAAGGGAAAGAAAGCATATGGGAGTTCCAGGAAGTCAGCCATACAGCAGACGGAAGTCACTGAGGTTGGGAAGCATTGTGTCCTAGGGTTCGGGGACCTGGAGTCACCAGAGAGCAAGGCCCTGGCCTAGGCTGTGGACTGCTGTCTGGCCAAGCTCTCAGTGTAGGCAGAAGGGAGTAAGACTTACGCAGAAAAACCCAATAGGACATTGCTGTCATAATCATTAAGATGACAAAACCCTGAAATTAAAAAGAAAAGAAAAGCCTAACTTGAAGGAAAATGTGTTTGAGAGAGCAGTGAAGTTGGAGGTGGGTCCTGGGGTGTGGGGACTGGAGTGGGGCCTCCAGCCGACCCGCAGCATGCACTGCCTAAAGCTAAGAAGGCGCTGCTGTTCTGTCTCTAAGAATCATTCCAGCAGAAGAGGCAGCTTGCAAGCCTGTACTTACGAAGAACAGCCAGCGCTTCCTGTGGTGAGTTTCGTCCTCTTCGCTGGGCCATCAGGAAGACAGAAACCCAGGACCTTTTTATTTGTTGCTTCACGGGAACCCTGAGCATGACGGTCCGACTGCACAGATGGGCTTCCAGGGCTGGGTGGGGCTGAGAGGCAGGAGGCGGAGCCTTGTGCAGGGTCTGAGGTGGGCGTTGGGCTGGGGAGGGGACCGAGATGGGGCGGAGCCTGCCCGAGTGGCCATGCGGGCACAGCAGCTTGGGTTCTGGTGCCCGGCGCCCCTTGGCCACTGGCCTGACTGTGAAGGGCCGTCCACACCAGACGCAAAGCACCTCTGCCTGTCTCCGAGGTTCCCGGCCTGTTCTCCTGTCCTGGGCCGTAGGCGGTCGGCCTTGTGTTCCCCCTCCTCCCCTCCCTGCCCTGAGCCCCACACACCCAGCGCTCTTGCCTTTCTGTGGACCTCGCTTGTCCTGCAGCAACGCCGAAACCTTGCCCCTGGCTTCTCAGCCCGCCCTGTCCGTGTCCCCAGCCCCACCCTTCCTGGGCTCTTCCTTCCCGGCAGGCCCCAGTCCTGCGCCTCTCTGGCCCTGTGCACGCCCCTCCTCCCCCTCCGGCCGGCCCATGGCAGTGCTGAGTGGCAGCCCGTGTATTGGTCTTGGAAAGTGGAATTTTTGCTTTCATGCAAGCTGCGGCACCGGAACGCAGGAGTTGCGAGTCCTTGGCTGTCTAAACAGTCAGCCCCGTGGTACCGAGAGCACTGCAGGCCCCGTGCTGAGGGACAGGACACCGCTTCAGGCCCCCGGGCCCTGCACCTGAGCCTCGCCGTGGTCCCTGTCTGCCCTGCATCTCCCCTCTCTCCACACAGGGAAAACAGTCTCATTGGCGACCTTCAACAAGCGCAGCTCTGAGCTCACCAGACGCGCAAGAGAATCTAGAAGTGATTTCTATTTCATGTACCAGAAAAGCTGTTCCCATTCCTTTTCTCAGTACACTTACTGGATTTTTGTTTTGTTGTTCAGCTTTCTTGACTATACCTTAAAATTCGCCCCTTCTAAGGTGTGATGAATGCGTTTCTGTGAGTTCGCACAGCTGAGCAGACGTCACTGCTGTGCCATTTCAGAGCCCTCCAGCCTCTGTCCCCTGCCCACCCCCAGGCCCATGGACCCTCTGCTCTGGGTGGCGACAGCTTTGCCTCTTCTAGACTCATGGAGGGAGTTGCGTGTGTCGTGTGTGTGGTGTGTCCGGCGTCGCTATAGCACACTGTCTCCCATATCAGTAGCTCTTGGGATGCACCGCGCAGCTCTGACCACCTCAGCTGCGTGTGCACCGCTGACAGACTTGTTAAGCTGCACGTAAGGCCCGGAAACTGTCAGGGGACTGGTGCTACTGGTCTTTATGTGGTGAGCCAAGCCATGCCTGGGAGAGAATGGATCTGGTTCACAATGACAAAAAGAAGCCAGGCCCTAGGACTATTTAAAGTAAACCTGGAAATAAGCAGACTCTGCTGTTCACTTGTAACAAACCGCAGTGAACAGCTGCCCCGCCCTTAGAGAGCCATGCAGTAACCACTGGACCTGATGCAACACCTGTGGACGTGCCCTTGTTCTGTCTCGCTGCCGCTTCTTCGGCTGCAGGTTACTCAGCAGTGCTGTCATGAACCTGGGCACAGGGCTACACAACATGATCCGTGCTGAGCGCAATGTGAGGCTGCAAGGGTTGGCGGGCTTTGTTGGCCTTTTATCTCGTTCATCATTATAGTTTGCTCTGGTTTTTTCCCAAGTGAAGTATTGTTCTCTGTATTTTGCATAATTATGACTCACTTTACTAAATTAAAAATGTACCTTTTGGGACTGGGGATTTGACTCAGTGGTTCCACCATCTGCTTCCCAAGCGCAAGGTCCCGAGTTCGATCCCCAGTACCAAAAAAATAAAAAATAAAATGTACCTTTTACCCATTTTCTCTTGTAATAAATGGTTTTAGTTGAAAATAAATAAAATATGGTTCATTTCAAAGAGCTAGCAGCAAAGAAGGAATGTGGTCCTCTTAATTACTTATTCTGTGCTCTTCCACACTTCAGCTTTTGCCTACTTCATCTGGATTGCCACCAGGTTGGGAAGAAAAACAAGACAAAAGAGGAAGATCATATTATGTAGATCACAATTCCCAAACTATGACCTGGACAAAGCCCCCCGTGCAGGTACCCTGCAGTTGATTCTCCTGTTTCCTCATAGGATTTAGCTTTCACACTCCTGTGCGAGCCATTCTGGCCCCTCGCAGTGGCCCTGGACACCTCGAGCATCCTCTACTTATTTTTTCACATGGATGCTGTTTACTCTTTCCTGCATTTCTTATCACATGAGTTACCGCTTGTTATTGTGTAAAACAAGTCCAAGTGGAGGACAGGAGGACAGAGTGCACAACCTGGTCTGTTGGATGGACTGTGTAACTTGAGTAAAGATCATTATTTTGCTGTAAGATAATCTTGGTGATTAGTGTCTACTAGAGTGATTCACAATCATAGCACTTTATCCCTGGACACAGTGGATGCCTTTTGTAGTACTTCCTGTGTTTTATAAAATCCTTGTTTTATCTTATCACTGTTTCTCTTATTGAGAAAATTTTTTAACACTGAAAATGCAGAGAAAAATGTAACAAATCTTCATATTTTCAACATCCAGAAGATACCACCACTAACAGGTTACCACATTCATTTCCAGAGGTTTTATTTTTTAAAAAACAGTCTTATGGGGCCAGGGATTTAGCTCATGGTTTCTCTGCCTGCTGCACAAGCGCAATGACCCAAGTTCGATCCCCGGTACCAAAAAAAAAAAACACCAGTCTTACGGATGGGCTGAATTTTAACCTCTCAGCCAAGCTAGTGGTTCCATCCCAGAGGGAGCCACCATTCATGGTTTGTTATGTGTCCTTTGTTATGTGTCCTTCCAGTCTATTTTCTATCTGTACAGAGAGGATAAAGCAATACACAAACTGCTTATGACTGTGTATTTCAAATAGTTTGTTATATGTCCTTCCAGTCTATTTTCTGTCTTTACACAAAGAGCAAAACAGTACACAAACTGCTTAGGACTGTGTTTCAAGTTTTACAGATGTTGTGCTACGTAAGTCTAAATCTTTTGCGCAACATTGCTCTGTCTATACTAAGATGCAGTTTATTTCTTTTAACTACCAATAATCTATCATATGACTATATTACATTCCAAGGGCCGGGGATTTAACTCAGTGGTTCCTCTGCCTGCCTCGCAAGCACAGGGACCTGAGTTCAATCCCCAGTACCAAAAAAAGAAATTCCAGTTATCCCCTTTTTTTATACTGGGGACTGAACTCAGAGCCTTCATGCTGAGCTTCATCCCTAGCCCTTCATTTTTTAATTTTGAGACAGGGTCTCACTAAGTCACCAGATTGCCAGAGCTGGGCTTAAACTTGGGACCCTCCTTCAGCCTTCCAGAGTGCTGGGGTCACAGGTGTGCACCACCACAACCAGCTCCCAGTGTCCTTTTCCATGGTGGATATTTGCCATTAATTTTGTCTCCCCAACCTCTGAGCCTGCTTCCCCACCCTGAGTCTTGGGGAGCCCCACCACCACCAGCTGAGACTGGGTACCTCACTCGGTCTGATACAGCCACAACAGACTGGTGGCTTAACTGCCATCTCACTGCTGGAGAAGTAGCTGGGAAATCACACATTATTACAAAAACAAAGTTTGACAAAATTCTTTGTTGGAAAAATTGAGAAAAATGCTATAAAGCTGAGGAAAAGATAATAGCATCATCACTGTGTGTGGGCCTCAGATGCTTAGGCCCTGCTCACACGTGTGTATGGCTTGGAGGTTAAGCTTTCTTATTAAACGTGGCTGTTTGTGATGCTGTGGAATTCCCAATGTGCTTTCATTACCGTGCAGGTCGCTGTGGAAGCCAGCCTGACAGCCTCTGGCCAGGGCTCCTCTGCCAGCCTGCGGCCCCCTGAGAGTGATACAGCCTCACCGCTGACCCAGCCAGCCAGGGTCCATCAGGGACCCCTTCCCCAAGGCTGGGAAGTCCGGCACACGCCGAATGGGAGGCCTTTCTATATCGACCACAACACCAAAAGCACCACCTGGGTAACGAATACTCTGCAGCTTGATACCTAACCGCAGCGTCTCTCTGAGAGCTCACTGTCATCCTTCAGTGTGTGTCACTTGACCGGCCTTATAACATTCGCTGAAAAATGATGTGCTGCTCCCAGTAATGTTACTGCTGCTCCAAATCCGCTTACTCCTCTTGTTAATATTGTGTTGGAGGCATCCATGCTTATGTCTGCTCACTCTAAATGTTTAGGAAAACATTTAGTAATAATTCTTTACCTTTATATGAGGCTTTATCATCCCAAAGCACTTTTGAATCCAAATCTCATTTACCACCAAAAAGACTGCAAATCTCAGTAGGACAAGTATTTTTAAGGTGATTCTTGAAATTGTCTGATAATTCAGTGAGGAAAAATATCTAAATTAAGTTTAATAACCTTTTTTAAGGCTTGCTTTCCTATCCTTCAGAAATATTGAAAAATGAACATAGGAACAGTTAGGAGGCAAAAAGCACATTTGGGGTGTAGAAATCACACGTGGCTCCCCCCACCCCAGTTCGTAGGCAGGGGAAAGTCGTGCGGTGGCACAGTGCCCAGTGCCAGGCGAAAGCTCTGGGTAGTGAAAGGTGCCGCAAAGTGGAGCCGTTCACCAGTGTAGTGAAAGCGAGAGCTGCAGAAGGAGAAACTGTCATGTCATAGGGTAAGGAAATGAAGCATGAATAGGCTTTATAAGAGAATATTCTAAATACCCAATGATATTGCAGAACATTGTAACACATTGACTTTCACTATTCTAAAATGTGTGTATATTGTTTTATTTACTTGTTCAACCCAAAAAGGAAGATCCAAGATTGAAAATTCCACCTCATCTCCGAGGAAAGGCACCGCTTGAGTCTTCCAGCGATCTGAGGCCCTTGCCTGTAAGTTCACGGAATTGTCCCCTATCTAACCTGCCTGTCTCAAGCAGTTTGTGTTTTTAATGTAGTACTCTGACAGCGATAAAATCATAAAATACTGATGCCTCCTACTAAAAATGGAATGTGCAACCAAATTACCCACATAATCAAATGTTATTTTTTACCCATGCATCAAAACCCTGTTCTGAAATGCCTGAATACATTTTTAATTATAGCCAGGATGGGAAGAGAGAACTCACACAGATGGAAGAATCTTCTACATCAATCACAGTAGGTGCAGTATGACTTTCATGACATTGTTTTATAGTACTGAATTTTGTAGGTGAGAAGGAACTTCTTTTGCCTTCCTTTCAGATATAAAAAGAACACAATGGGAGGATCCTCGGCTGCAGAGTGTGGCAGTAACTGGACCAGTGAGTCTCTGGGAGGGCAGGGTCAAGGGCGTGACCCACAGGCCCGAGGGGTACAGCTGCACCACCCCTGTGCCACAACTTAATGATGTGGGAAGACTGAAGTCATGGCCCCAACCCTGCCACAGGCAAATGCGTGGGCGTGGGCTCAGGCTGAGATGGTGTGCGGCAGGTTGGACTTGCGAGCAGAGCGGAGCCCAAGGGAGCAGGATGGGGTGGGGATGGGTGCAGCCCATGTCTCCAGCCGTTTCCTGGAAGTCGATGTAGATGTCCACTACGTAAGACGTGCCCAGACTTCAGTAAAAACATTACCACCAGATTGGCATCTGTCAATGGCAGAAAAATTATTATTCTCTCTTATTTAGCTACTTTTTCCATTTTTGTTCAGATTTTGTTTTCTAACTCACAAAAATAAGTAAAACTGAACATACGGGGGTTTTTTAATTACTGTCTAGTATTTCAGTATGTAGTATTTTTTAAATAATGGATAAAAAAGCCAACTCTTGGGAATTCAAGGAAAAAGAAAATTTTTCAAATTGTTTCTTTAATGGAGAAATCACTTTGAAAGTCTTAGAAATGGAAAATTTTGTTTCTAATATTTCTCTACTTGGAATAAATCTCTTGTTTTCAGTAATGTTGTGTGATGAAAATTACATCCATAAAAAATTACAGCCATAGAAATTGCTGGGTAAAATTTTATCTTAAATAGAGAAATGAAATTGTTTCATTTGTATTTGTTTTCCTTAGAGTGAAACTTTAATTTCCATATACTCTCTTTTCTTGTCTTTAACTTGATGTTCATAAAATACCCAGAGGGAGCCAGGGATTTAGCTCAGTGGTTCCACCGCCTGCCCTGCAAGTGCAAGGGCCCGAGTTCGATCCCTGGTACCAAAAAATAAATAAAATAAAATAAAATACCCAGAGGGAAACTTGTAAAGTTGTTCCAGAATTTAAAAAAACTAAACCTTTTTTTTTTCCCAAAAAAAATTTCCACTAAAGGCAGTGCCCTACTCCAGGGATTACAAAAGAAAGTATGAGTTCTTCCGGAGGAAGTTGAAGAAGCAGGTTAGTGGTGTTTATCTTAAATACTGGGAAATGCATTTTTCAAAGTGCTAGGGAATTTGTTCTGTGTTTGAAGCGACTCTGAGTGAATGGTTTCTCTTAGGGAAAGTGTGTTTATTTTTCAAATAACTTAACATATCATTAGGAACCATAATTATTTTATGTCTGTTTTTATTTTTCAAGATATTTTAATACAGAAAATTCCAAGTGAAGGTGTGTGTAAGCCTCGTGTTCTCACAGGTGTGTGGCCCGGGTCTGTGGGGTCTGCGGTGATGTCTTCCTTGTCTCGCACCTGTTGGAGAGCTAGCTCTCTGGACCCTTGGCCACTTCTGTTTCCCACAGTGGACATTCACTCTTACAGCTCCAAATACAGTGTGCTCTGCGTGGTGCACGTGAGAACACCCTGTGAGGGACTGCCGCTGTCTTTCCTGTCTCCTCGTGCTCCTCGGGTGCATCCTTCGTGCTTTCCGGTCACCCCAGGCTGAGTGTCCAGAACCCCACCCCTGCCCTGCCCTGCCCATCCAGCAGTCCTTATTAGCCCCTCCTCTCCCCTTTCCTTGCAGTTTAGCCACACTTCCACAAGGTGGCGATATCGGGCCACGCTTTCTGGGGTTTTAAACTGGACCACAGCTTTTCCAAACGTTCAAGATGGTGGGTCGGCCACCTCAGGTATAGGGCTTCATCTAGAAGTTCAACAAAGGTGGAATATGATTGTTTGTTGGTGCAATTATTTTATGCCCTAGAAAAATCCTTAAATAACAGCAACCTGTTAAACTCTTCTTAAAGAATACCCTTGTGTCTAAATTACTGAAATTTGCCTCTGAATTCCAGGCTTTGGGATCTTAAATCTTTGCTAATGCGCTTTTCTGGAAAGTGTTTTTATTCTTACTGAGAATAGGCTGGTGGGAGAGAAGGCCCAGTGCCTGTGTTTGTCACTGAGACCTTGTAAACATGTTAAATATCTATTCGTGTCTTCCAGCCAGCAGAGATGAGGGACAAGATGTTAGTTAACAGGCCTCCAACTGTAACAGTTCTAATGAAAGCAATGCTTTTTGATCTCTCACCGAGTTCCAAACATTCTTCCCAGTAGGTTTCAAATATTGTGGATTTGTTCTCAACATGCTGTGAGGAAGGGACTGTTACTACATTTTATAGGAGAGGAAACTGAGGCATGGGGAGGTCAGGTAATATGACCAGTCTCACATCTACTAGGAGGACAGGCCGGGTGCAGACTACGTGGTCCAGCCCCAGAGGCCGCAGTCCTGGCAACAGGATGTGTCATGTTGGCAGTTAGGAGAGAGGCTTTGTGTGGAGATTGTCCGGACTTCATCGAGGTGTATGAGGGATGACCATCGGAAGGAAAGTCTGGGATGTGGAATTTTCCGAGAGAGGCTGAGGCACCCGGGGAGAATCTGGGAATCCAAATCCGCAGGTTAATAAAAAGCCTCAAGCAGGATTTAAAAATTAAAGTCCACATCTAGAACCCTTGCAGCAAAAGAACAGAACACCTGAACCGATTTAAAAAATACAATGAGCAGTGCTTGATAGCCTTGAGCTGTCTTAACCTTCCTTTGTCTTTGTCCCCAGCGTCTCAGTGGTTAGGGTGGTGATGACGAATAGTCCTCGAGCACATTCTGAGCCAGACACTATGTGAGCACTGCAAATGTGCTGTGCCATAAGTCCTGAAGCAACTCTAGGGGATAGGTGGTGTTGCTTTCCCTGTTTGCAGAGGAAGGAATCAAGCTTTAGAGAAGGTATCCACCACATCCAGCCACTCACCTGGCGAGTGGAGTTGGGATTTGAGCTCAGGCCTGCCCCTTCTCATGCTCCAGGTCTCAGTGCTGTCTCTGCCTGGCACCATCACCCTCTCAGGCCTGTCTGTTTTCTCTTGCTTGGGCTCCATCAGGGTCTTCCCTGAGCCACCTTTTGTACCCAACCTGGGCATCAGCTCCTGAACAGCCTCGAAGCTCCTGTACTCAGAAAACTTCTTCACCTGCTCACACCATCTGCTCCCAGCCCCAGAAGAGTCTGCCAGCTCCCTGCGCTGTGGCTTCCGCCCCCGCACTGTGCTGTCCCTGGAGCTGTGGAAGTCCCTTCCTTGGCCCTCCCGGCCTTCCTCTCTTAGCCTCCTAGGTGACCCGTTTGCAGTTAACCCCCGCCTCTCCTGTGCCCAGGAACGTCTCTTCGGGTTGCAGGAGGAACAGCATTTACACTTGTTCCTCTCTCCACAGCCTCACCTCCTGCCCTCCGTTCCCTGGCCACACAGTGGTACCACCCAGCTTGGGCCTGGCCATGCCAGCTGCGTGGGGCCGGTCTAAACCAACCACTTTTCTCCAGTCGTGCTGTTACCTAAGTTGCACAAGAGGAGGGGAAGCCACTTGTATTATGTTTACATTGCTGACATAAACTACTTAGACTAATGTATTTCTAGAGGACTATTTCCCTAAATATACTGAGAGTTTCTTTCACCTTTTTCCTTAGCTAACCTTTTCTTTTTTTCGTACCGGGGATCGAACTCGGGTCCTTGCGCTTGCACAGCAGGCAGCGAAACCACTGAACTAAATCCCCGCCCACCTTTTGTTTCCTAGAGTGACAGAATGTCCTTAGCCTGTGTTCTCCTAAAGATTTCTTCTTGAACATTGTGCATGAAGCACTCAGGAATAAAATACCCAGGCATTGTAATAAAATTTACACTGAGATCTGCCCAAGCATGGTTCCGTACATTTGACATACATCACAGGACCAAGGCACTCTGGCAGATGCTGTAGCTTGTTGCCAAAGGGCAGACTGGGGAGCCAAGGCCATAACTCCCGTTCGCCTCAGTTTCTTCACCTGTGAGGTGGACTTGGGGACAGTGGCAGCTTCTTTGCTGGGGTGAAGAGTGAGGGAGTTGACCATGGAAATGCAGTGACAGTGCCTAGCACAGCCTGCTCTTGCTGGGGAAGGAGGAGCCCAAGGAAAGCCTGCTGGTGACCAGAGCCTCGCAGAGTGGCTCCCGGGGACCTGTCATGGCAAGTGCTCACCGCCAGCAGCTTTTCCCGACACACAAGTGGGAAGTCTGCATCTGCGAGCCATCGGACACCAGGCCACAAGGGGCGTCAGGATGGCATGCTGTCCTGGCTCCCTGGGCAGTCCGGGCTGCAGAGTATGGACATCTGAGGGAGACGGACTTGTCACTGGTCGAGTTAATTTTAACCAGAAGCCTCTCTTGTCTGGCTTTTCAGAATGACATTCCAAACAAATTTGAAATGAAACTTCGCCGAGCAACTGTGCTGGAGGACTCTTACCGGAGGGTCATGGGCGCTAAGAGGGCCGACTGCCTCAAAGCCCGGCTCTGGATTGAGTTCGACGGCGAGAAAGGATTGGATTACGGAGGGGTTGCCCGGGAGTGGTTCTTCCTACTCTCCAAGGAAATGTTTAACCCTTATTACGGGTTGTTTGAATATTCTGCTACGTAAGTACTTGGTGAAGGATTAATTAAGGGGGGGGTCTCACTGTGTTGCTGAGGCTGGCCTTGAACTCCTGGACTCAGCAACCATCCAGCCTCAGCCGCCCTAGGAGGCGGGAGTAAGGCATGTGCTCCTGTGCCAGGCATAGAGATCTTTCAATGCCTTTGTGCACAGGAGAAAGAAATTGCTCTTCTGCAAGTAACACGAGAGTTGCTTGATGCACAGGCAATGTGCTGCAGCGCAGCAGCAGGAGGGGTGAGAACGAAGTCACAGACCCTCAAGGCTGTGGTACAGCACATGCAACGTAGGATGGACCGTCCCGACTGCTTTGGCCTGTGGTTCGCTGGCTTTTAAGTCTGCTCACACTGCTGGTAACAGCACCACCCTCCATCTCCAGAACTTCTTCATCTTCCTGAAAATCCCTCTGTGCCCACTAAGCCTTGGGCCGACTCCTGGCACCACCACCTGCTTCTCCCACGTGACTTGGCGCCCTGGGTCTGCACTAAGTGTGCTGTGCCGTCGTCAGCCTCCGTGCCTGCGCATTTCAGTCCGAGTGGCACTCTCAGGTCCACCTGTGATGCGAGAGAGCAGGACTTCGCTGCATCCCTCTGCGCACCATAGTTCATTTATCCACTCAGCTGTCTGTGGACACTTGGGCTATCGTCACCTTTTGGCAGAATTGTGTTTCAGTGCTGGGATCAAATCCCAGCCTGGAGCTTGCTAGGCAGATGCTCTACCGTGGAGCAACACCCCTAGCCCAAAAGTATGGTTTTTTTAAAACTATTAAACCCGACGGTCACATGTGGTTCTAGTAGAGAGAGGTAAATAACTCTAAAAAGAGAGAGAAAATGCATCATTATTTGTAGTATTAAATTTTTCTCTGAAATATGAAGAGTATTTAAACATGCTTGTCTTGCTGAGGGTTTAGTTCAGTGTGCCGCGCCTGCCTGGCAAGTCCAAGGTCCTGCGTTCGATCCCCGGTACTGAAAAAAACCAAAAAACATGCCTGTCTTCACAGGGATAATTACACCCTACAGATAAATGCCAACTCCGGCTTATGTAATGAAGACCACCTCTCCTACTTCAAGTTTATCGGCCGGGTAGCAGGGATGGCAGTTTATCATGGCAAACTGTTGGATGGTTCGTGTTAAGTATAAAACTTCTTTGAATTATAATTGTTTTCTTTAACTTTGCAAGCATTTTAAATATCTTTCATTTCTTGCAAGGTTTTTTCATTCGCCCGTTTTACAAGATGATGCTACACAAGCCAATAACGCTCCATGACATGGAGTCCGTGGTATGTCTCGCTTGGGCGTGGATGAGTGTGGTCCAACAGGTGACTGGACATGTTGAGGAAGTACCTTGTAATGACATAGAAATTAATAAATTGTAAAGTCTCAAAAAACAAATGAACATCTTCTCCAACATTTTATTATGAAAATTCCTAACATATGATAAAGTTGAAAGAATTTATCCGCCATCCACAGTTGGCTTTTTTTCTGCTTCTACTTCATCTTATGCCTGCATCTGTCAGTGCATCAAGTCTGTGCATTGCAGTGTAAGTTGCAGATACCACACCCTTCCCAGGGTGCTTCACTGCCGCAGCTGCAGATCTCTTGCATCCATATTCAGGTTTTGTGATCTTTTATGATATATGGCGAGTTTTAAACAGTGGCCTAAAGGTAGGGTGAGGCTGTGCAAAGGAGATGCCCAAGAGCCAAACTCTGGAGCCTCAGAGCCTCGGGTTGTCCTGCTGAGTCGCACCCGGCTGGGTGCTGGGGTCCTGAGACGCCTTCCCAGTAACACGTGTGTTTCACTCTTTTCTTCTACACATCGTGACTGCAGACAGGGTGGCTCTTCATAAGTCGTGGGATCACACTTATTGGAGTGGGTTAATTGAGCTTTCACATTTAGTTGTGATTTTTCTTTAGCTTGGGCCTCCTATAGCCTTTCACACAGCCTCAGGTCACCTGAGAGCAGTTCCAGTGTTCCAGGGTATCCACAAGTATTGGAAGGGTTTTGCAAACTGCTTTATTTAACCCTTTAAGGCTCTGCTTCCACATAAAGATAGATTTCTAAACTTTTTTGTGGTACTAGGGATTGAACCCTGGGCCTTCTCACTAAGCCACACCCCCTGCCCATTTTATTTTTTCATTTTGAGACAGGGTCTTAATTGCTAAATTGCCCCCACTGAGTACGAACTTGTAATCCTCCTGCCTCAGCTTCCCAGAGTGCTGGGCTCACAGGCCTGTGCCACCATGCCTGGTTTCTACACGTTTAAGTAGGCACCACTTTCTCCCACACTTACTGTTGTCCATTCCCTTCTGTAGTGTGTGTGTGTGTGTGTGTGTGTGTGTGAGAGAGAGAGAGAGAGAGAAAGATGTCCAGCTATCCCTTTCACCTTTCCCCAATTTTTTCCAAGCTCAGGTGTCTTTATATGTACAAATTTTTAAAATGCAATTTTTTTCATCTAGGATAGTGAGTATTATAATTCATTGAGATGGATTCTTGAAAATGACCCAACAGAATTGGACCTCAGGTTTATCATAGATGAAGAACTTTTTGGACAGGTTTGTGAATTTTACTCAATGAAAATGATGTATAATTTGTGAAGCAAATCTAACTTAGGTTTTGACATTAATACACACACTCAATACATTGCTCTGTTTTCACATTTATTTTTCAGTAACAAAAGCTATCTCTCAGCAAGAATTTGTGCTTTCTTTGACCTTTGACTCATTCCATATTCGATAAAACTAATATTTTAAATTTTCTTACCGTTTAGCTTTTGAATGGATTTAATTTAAAACACTGGGGTTCTGGTATAACCATAATATGTATACTTTTTATTTCTCTTGCCAAGATAATACAACAAGGTATCTTGTTTAATTTTAGACACACCAACATGAGCTGAAAAACGGTGGCTCAGAAATCATTGTCACCAATAAGAACAAAAAGGAATATATTTAGTAAGTATTTTGTCAGTGCACTAGGAGCACTTTGTGCTTTATTTATGAGCATTTTTTTTACTCTCTTCCCCAGTCCAGAATTGTAGTGCTCTTGTCTCTTCTTTGGGTTACCTCTTGTCACTCAGCTTTTGCTGTGGGCTTAGCTAGTCTTCATTTTCTGTTTCTAATGGGCATAAATAAAATTTTTCTTGGTTCATATGAAAAATAATTGCTTTTCTTTTTAGCCTTGTAATACAATGGAGATTTGTCAACAGAATCCAGAAGCAGATGGCTGCTTTTAAGGAGGTATTTGTTATCTTTTGTCTGCCCTTTTTAATCTCCATTCTAAGTGGAAGTCTCAAATATATATCACCTGGTTTCTCTGACATGAGAACCCCCAAATTAAAGAGCAAAATAAAAGATAATAGGAAGTAGGGAGACCTTTTTCAAATGAAAGTGGGGAGGAAGGGGAGGAAAAGGGGAGGGGAAATTGAAGGAAAAAATGGAAATAGAGCTTTTGCAAATGGGAAGGGGACCAGAAGTTGGAGGGCATAGGGAGGGAGGGAAAGGAAGGGGTGAGAAAATGATGAAGATGTGCTCTGTCCGTGTGCCACCTCCCCGGGAGGAATGCAATCATTGCTACTGCAAACGTGAACTAGTAAAAGCGAAAGCTCACTGATGGGCAAAAAGAAAGCTAGGCTTCACTGCATCTGAGAAAAATAAGTTCATGGCCTTGTAAAACTGTTGTTTATAATGTTACAAAATATTCCACAAGTGGATGTTTGCTACTGAAGTACAAGTGCGCAAGGGCCTCGAAGTAGATCCTGACTGTGCTTGGCTGCCTCCCAGCCCCACCTCTTGCCTGCTGCAGCCTCGGGAGGATGGGACAAGGATGCTGTCGAGCTGTGTGTGGGTTTGTGCTGCACTTTCTTCCCTCGTCAAGTCGTTATTGGGACCCAGGCGTGGCAGAGCAGGCCTGTGATCCCAGCTCCCTGGGAGGCTGAGGCAGGGGGTCACAAGTTTGAGCATAGCCTGGGCGACTTAGTGACTCAGAGGGGTGCTGTCTCAGAATAAAAGATAAAGGCTGGGGTATGGCTCTGGGTGAAGGCCTTGGGTGCAGCCCCAAGAACCACCGAAAGTGTCACTAGAGCCCTTGGCACACCAAGGTGCACAGCCATCCCCCTTTGTGCTTCGTCTTAGTCATGACATAAATTCCCGAGTTCTTGGAACCTCCCAAGCAGCTACACTCAGCTGTGGCCAAAGCACTCATTTTTTCTGTCTCTTTCTTTTCTTTTCATTCTTTCCTGGGCGGATTGAACCCAGGGGTTCATACATGCCAGGCCAGTGGTAATAAACCTATGGCACACACACCGCAGCCAGGTGTTTATCATCGTTTAAACCCTTAAAAGGTCTGCCATCACTGTGCTAGGCAAAGCACCACTGAACCACGCTCCCGGTCTCTTGTTATTTTATTTTTCTGTTTCAAGACAGTCTTGCTAGGTCGCCCAGCTGGGCTCAAACTTGTGACCCCTGCCTCAGCCTCCCAGGGAGCTGGGCTTACAGGCGTGCGCCACTGTACCTGAGCGGACTCCTCTAATGTAACAGCGCATATTCGGTATTTGCCCACACTCCCTCCTTTCCTCAGTGCTGAGCACTGACTGTCTGGTTGTGTGTGAGGCACAGGACCGGCCTGGAGGAGCGGGAGTGCACAGCTGGGTGAGGGTAGCGGCGGGCAGCAGTGCCCCCAAAAGAAGGAGGAGCTGCACGCAGGAGGAAAGCACAGCTGCGTGTGCTGGACGGGCAGCAGGGCCTGGGCTGAGCTGAGCAGAGCCAGCTGTGGGGCTGTTGGTTATGCAGTGGAGCTTGATATCGCTGAAGTCCGGGGGAAGGAAGGTGGCTCTTCGGCAGCATATCCCAGACTCAAGTGCGTCGGCTGGTGTGGAAGCAGGTGTAGCCTGAGTGAGCGGCGGCCAGCAGCCGCCACGAGGCCCCGAGGGGACAGCGCAGGTTCAGGCCACCCAGGCCGGCAGGGCCGTTCTCACAGCCATGGACCTGGGGAGGGCCTTGGGTGGGCGCAGGTCTGGGGCTTTTGCCTGTGGCCCAGAGAGGACGGAAGTGAGGGGCGCAGAAGTGGGTCCTGGGAAGCAGCACCTTCCTGTTGCCGACAGATGAGGGGCTGCAGGGGAGCCCCTGGGCAGGCGGAGGGCCGGGGTGTCCCCCAGGAGGAGGAGGAGGCCCCGCGGGCGGCTGAGCCCTGCTGTCCGGACCGCATGGGCGTGGTGGCACCAGGCACACTGGCCATGCTGGAGCCGGCGCTGCGCTGGGCTCGGTGCTCAGGTCGGCCGCCCCAGTAGGTCCTGGGAGGGGGCTGGGAGGTCACCCCCAGGCCGAGGCAGGCTGCAGAGAGCCCCTCGCCCTCTCCTGGGACAGATACTTCTGCTGTGCAGAGGGGCGATGTGTAGGAGGCGCGAGGGCTACAAGGAATGTTAGCTACATGAGGAGTCTTGGGCAGGCAAGGGCGCACGTGCTCCCCATATGAGGTCCCAGTGAGGGACCCAGGCCGGCGTCAGCCTCTGGGCCGGCTGAGCTCCCTCCAGCAGCACGCAGAAGCCAGAGTGTGAATGTCCCCCAAGCCTGCTAACCAGGCTTTTAAATGCATCTTTTTTCTACCAGGGGTTTTTTGAACTAATACCACAGGATCTCATCAAAATTTTTGATGAAAATGAGCTAGAGGTAAGAAATACCATTTTTAAGTGAGAACGGGTGTTGCACGCTACTTCTCTTGCTTACGGCCTTGCCATGTTTCTCCTGGTAGCTTCTCATGTGTGGCTTGGGAGACGTGGACGTGAATGACTGGAGAGAGCACACGAAGTACAAGAACGGCTACAGTGCAGGCCACCGAGTCATCCAGTGGTTCTGGAAGGTAGCGTGCAGCCTCCGCGCCCACAAACCACTCAGAGCTGGGTTAAAGCACACGCGTGTCCTGCTTTGGGGAAGCACTCACAAACCGAGCAGATGCAGTGCGCCTGGCTAACACTGCTTCGCTTCGCCCTGGGCTGCTCCTGCGAGTCTCTGCATAGAGAACCTGTGTGCCCGTCGGCACTAACAGGAAGTGTAATTTTTAAAAGCCGTGACTCCCATCTGAGAAGAAAGCCTCATTACCTGGATGGGCTGTGGTCCCACCTGCGAAGCTGCACGGAAGCCTTGGAAAGGGACTTTTTGAGAACTTTATAAACCACCCGTCAAGGCACATTTGACTTAAAGAACACGGAACTTTAGTGATTATTAATGCTGTAACTACATTTTGATGGCATATTTTTCAGGATAATTGTTGTACCATTTTTCCAGTATTCACTAAATACAGCTTTTTATCTTAGGCTGTTTTAATGATGGATTCAGAAAAAAGAATACGATTACTTCAGTTTGTCACCGGTACTTCCCGTGTGCCTATGAATGGATTCGCTGAACTATATGGTAAGGATTTTCCTTAAATCAATAAAAAATAGAGCGGCACCAACTGTGTTTCATGGCTCATCAGTCTTCAGGCTTCTATCACTTATCTGAATGCTTAATTTTTTTAAAGAATTCAGATTTTTAATATGACTGGGTACCATGGGTATAGACCAAAACGTATTTATGCCTTCTAATCTGAGACTGAAGGGGTCCGGTGGGGAACGGCTTGGGTTGCTTTCTGTCATTGACTTCCAGTTCTGCTGCCTCGGAGGTTGTCATTACCTGCAAGCCCACGGCTGGGCAGCATTCTGTGCCCGTGGAACATTAGCGCACCTCGACAGCAAGTCCTTGTTGGGTGCGTCTGGGGAAGGCTGGGTGGGCTGCAGGAAATCTCAGTGGTCCTTTGGCCCAAGTCTTCTTATTCTGGGAGTTCAGTTACCTGCCGCCAGCCACAGTCTGAAAATATTAAATAGCTGCTGAGAGAGAGAGACAGAGACCGAGGGCAGTGGAACTTTGTTACAATGTATTATTTCATTTGTTCTGTTTGTTAGTCTCACACTGTCCCCCATTTAGAGAGGAGACTCTCGCAGGTGTGCGAGGAGACAGCTTGTTCCGGCTGGAGACGCTGCATTATCGCAGGGCACAGCCCCAGCCCACACCCGGTGGATAGCAGGGAGCCTGTGGATTTTGGGGGACTCGTTCAGAAACTTTGCTGTTAAAATTGAAGCAGAGCCTCCAAAACTCACTTGATCCTGGGATCTGTTTTCTTTTGTGGTGAGAGTTGTGGGTAGGAAATCTCCTTAGGCCGTCTCCATTCCTGTAGGGTCGGGAGCCTTTGGGGCAGGCTGCACAGACCAGACACCAAGATCTGCCTCTTGGTATCCAAACCAGTTAGTGCCAGCCTTCTGTGCAGTGGAATTCTTTCTGTCCCTTTAGGTTATTTTCTGATAGGTGTGTACACATTAGAAGTGTGATGGGTTTTTAAAGAAATGTTATTTCTGATGTAAGTCATGGCCATTTTTCTCATACTGAGTAATATTGTTTATTCAAATGGCATTTACTTGCTTTGAAAGATACCAAGAACAACGCTTTTTGGTATTTTGAGACAGAGTCTCACTATGTAGGTCAGGCTGGCCTTCAACACTGTGTAGCCCAAGTTGGCCTCAGACTCGTGGAGATCCTCCTGCCTCAGCCTCCTGAGTCCTAGAATTACATGCATGAGCCACTACACCTGGCACCAAGAACAACTCTTGAAGCAAAGGTGTAGCTAAACTTGGAGTCCTGCTCGAAGCAACAAATAAGACTAGAGTTCTGGGAACTAGGAGTTGGGAATGGTGCACCAAGGGCTCAGCTGCTTTTCTAGTGCTGACAGAAGCTGCCGCTGCCTGGGGGCGCTGACCCTCTTCGCTGTGCAACACCCATCTCCTTGTGGGCCACGTCACACGCATTTGCACAGCCTGCCAAGCAGCTGGCTTCTCTGAATGGTCCCCACTCACAGTGGCTCTGAGCTTCGCTGAAGGCCAGCTTGCTCCCGGCCCGACTGGAACGTGAGCCTCGGTCTCTCCGTGGTTCGCCTGACTCCCTCCCTTCGCCTTCTCTAGCCAGTTAGCGGAGGAGGCCTGGGCAGGGCCGTTCCCTCTCCCCCCGAGCTCCACCTTCTCTCACTGTGCAGCCCAGGTCTGAAGCATCCACGGACTTCAGGGACTGTTTGGAATTTGGGAGAAGCAGCCATACACAGAGCCTGTGTTATTTGTTTTGGAATACAAATTCAGATTCTTATGGGGCCAGGGATTTAGCTCAGGGGTTCCAGTGCCTGCCTTGCAAGTGCAAGGTCCCGAGTTCGATCCCTGGCACCAAAAACCAATCAAATTCTTATGTGTTACAGAAGGAAGTGGCAGTTGGTTTAAGATGCTTGTATCACGATGCAGTATTATGTAGCAAATAAAGTGTATATGGAGTTAAATCAATCAACTTAGAGTTTTCACAGTAGACTGGGTAAAAAAATCAGAAGGCAGAGAAATACGTATAACAGGATTCCACATTTTGGAGAATAGTGGCAAAAGTACTGAGATTTCAGCTGTGAACATAATAACTGTGATGGGTGGTTTGTGGGAAGTTATGCTTTGGAGAAAACTTTAAGATTGAGAATATTAAATGTTTCAGGGCTACTTCTGGCAACTACACACGTACACATTGGATGTGATTATAACATGAAGAAAAGTATGGAAAATTAGAGATAGACCCTCACCATCGATTATCTGGTGGTTGGAAGATGTTAAGGATTAGAGAAGGAAGAGCTAAATGGAAATGCTGAAGGAAGAAAGAGACTTTCTAAAAATGTACACAGTGAAGGAAATGTAAACTGTGTAACATGATCACACGCACACGAAATTCTGTATGTGAACACACACGTGCTCAAAAAAGATTTGTGACCAGCTTTGATGCAGAATTCATGGTAGAGTTTGACGTGATTTTTACATCCTTCATTATGTTTTATTCTGACTATAATGCTAACTGTGACATTATATAACCAGAAAAGAGTTAAAGCTGCTTTCAGTGGAACTCAAAGAAAGAAAGAATGCTTGCAGGAAATCATATGTACAACTGCCGCTCTGTCCAGGACCGGCACCAGCAAGGGCATCCTCGGATGTCCCACACTCGGGGCAGGAGTCAGGGCACTCACAGAGCAAAGGACAGACCAGGGCTCCTCGCCCTCAGGCACAGGACAGCCTTCATTTCTTCAGGGTTTAAAGAAACCAGATCAGGTCCCTGTGTGTCTGAGTTCCACACAGGAAGGTGGCTTTCAAAAGGGAAAGGAAACCGAGGAACTTTCTTCTTCTCCCAGGCTCCAGTGGACCACAGTCCTTCACAGTGGAGCTGTGGGGTGCCCCAGAGAAGCTGCCCAGGGCTCATACCTGGTAAGCATGCAAAGGTCGCAGCTCCTTTGTTGGTCCAGCGGTGGCAACCCCTCCATGCTGCGTTGGGCAGCACTGGACAAGGAGCCAGCAACGCCAGCCCCGGGGGCTGTGGGTGGGGAAGCTGGTCCAAGCTTTAGGCTCCCTCTGTCCCAGGGCATGCCTGTCCCTCGAGGGGGAGCTTCCCTCCTGGAGGCTGTGTGGCAGAGGAGGCAAATGTGTGAAGGTCAGCATTCGGCATCCGGGGGAGCCAGTGTCTGCCAGCGCCCTGTGCCCCGACTTCCCCGTGGGAATCTGCCCACTGTTGCCCTAACTGCTCCTCTCTGTTCTTTCAGCTTCAATCGCTTGGACTTGCCGCCCTATGAGTCATTTGAAGAATTATGGGATAAACTTCAGATGGCGATCGAAAACACTCAGGGTTTTGACGGGGTTGATTAGACTACAAATAATCTATGGTATTTTTGCTGCCAAGTTTTATAAACAAAATTGTGACTTAAAATTTTCCAGGGAACTATTTAAACTCAGCCACTGATTCTTCCCATATATTGGAGAAAATCGTTAAAATGTTTGAAGAAATAACATGACAGTGTTACTGTTATTCCAGTCACTTTTCAGCAACGTGCGTTTGTACAGTTACTGCATCCTGTCTGCAGTGTTCACGCTATAGACGTGAGTCCAGGTGTCTGAGGCAATGAGTTTTGTCCTTAACATTTACCTCTCACAGAATCTGCCAGGCAGGGCTTTCTGAAACTACTGAAATTATAACTGTGAAATATCTGTGATAAATGTCATGTGTGAAAAATTTGATGCTTTTCTGAGAAGGAAAACCGCCATTTGGGGAAAGCTAATGAGTAAGCTACAATGTATTTAGTGTTACTTGCAGCTGTTTATTATTTTGTAGACTTGCCTCATGCACCTTACCTTAGCCCAGAGCTTTAGAAAAGCCATGGATTCTGTTACGTATATTTGTAGGCAACTGACTTGCAGAAAAGTTGTTTACTTCTTCACTTTAAAAGGATGAGGCTTTCCTTAATACGAAGCTTTTCTAAACACGGCGGCTCGCGAGACGATGGCGTCAGAGGCTCCCTCTTGCGGGCACTGCAGGCTGTGCAGCCTGCACCTCCGTGTTTCCATGGAGTCAACCTCTCTCCTCTCAACCGGAAGGTCTCACGGAGCAGAGCCGTATTCTAACCTTGTGCCTGCAAGAGTTGCCTCTAGTTGTCTCTAGCGCTCGCCTTTCCTAGTCGCTCCTCGCAGCTGCAGCGTGTGAGTCCATGTTTACAAGCTTTATTGTGTTTACAAGTGAAGCCCGTTTCTGTCCTTGCATTTTTATATTTTTACTATCACTTTAGTTTAAAAAAACAAATAATTTGTTTTTTAAATGATATTAAAAATTAAAATACTAAAAATTGAAAATATTAAAACGTTAAAGAGTAGTTAAATGCATAATTTGTATTAAATTTGTTACCACATTTCTTATACTTTCTAAAAAATACTGTTTACTATGCAAACGATGGTGATTTGTTACAAATCCAGAGTCCTCTAGGTGAACTGCAGGTAGAAGGCACTGGCACCAGATTGAAGCTCCTCGGGCCTGGGCACCAATCTAGCCAACGCTGCCGAACGCTGTGCAGTGCCAGGCTGGGCCCCAGTGGCAGTGAGATACAGCTTAGTTTTTCCTTCAAGGAACTTACATGAATGAACGTGTAAACAGTCCAAAGTAGGATGAGCAGAATAAGGGAAAAGCAAGTTTTGTTTGTTTGTTTGTTGTTTGTTGGGTACTGGGGATTGAGCCCAGGGCCTTTGCATTGAACTACATCCCCAGCCCTTTTTCCCTTTTTATTTCTTATTTTGAGACAGGGTCTCGCAAAGTTACCAAGTTGCCCAAGCTGGGGTGGAACTTGTATTCTTCCTGTCTCAGCCTCCCAGAGGGCCGGGATCCTAGGTGTGGGACTATTCTAGGTCCCAGCACACTTACAAAGGTGGAGCGTGTCAAGGCTGCATTTCTTGGGCCAGGGATTTAGCTCAGTGGTGCCACACCCTGCCTGGCAAGCGCAAGATCCTGAGTCCCATCCCCGGTGCCAAAAAGAAGACTGTATTTCTGTGTTTCATCTCTGTATTGGAACATTATTCAGAGAATGCTCTTATACAGAATTAAACGTGTTTCTGAGTAGGGTATTTTAGTGATAAGGGAGTAACTGTAAATATGCGTTGGAAACGTTCTCAGACGCATAGCAATGCTCTGAGCCTTTAGCCATGGGCCCGCGTTTGCTGGGGTGAGCATGGCGAGGACGCTCAACACCAGGTCAAGGTGCCCAGGGCACCGCAGACCTCAGTCCCAGAGTCCCCTCCGGCGGCTCGTCTGCAAGGGCCCGGCCGGCGACTGCAGGGTCGGCTGCAGCTGTGCACAGGTTCGGCGCTCGCGTCGTGGCCTGCGAGTGAGCAGCAGCAGCTGACCCGGCCTCTGCAGCCCATCCTTCCCGTCAGACGAGCATCGCGAAGGCCACCTGGCTGCCTGGCCCGTTAACCCGAGGGCTGTGGGGGCCGAGACTGCCAGTGGAGGCTTTGCTGGCGGCCACCCTATGCCGGGAGGGGTCCACGCTGCCGCCCCAATAGAATGCCTTCGCCTGCAACCAGAGTGACCTGGCACGGAGCGGGCTGCACCATCGACGACCCAGGCGACGTGGGCGTGGGTCAGTGTGTTCCAGAACTGACCTCTTGCGCAGACCCGAATGTGAAAGCAGGGTTTCCCGCGCCTGTTTAGCAGCACTCCCGCGAAACTGCATCTGCGTCTGAGCTTCCGTACACCCGCTGGTCCTCTCCCAGCCCAGCGGCGCGTTGGACCCACCTGCAGACTCCCTGGTGAGGCCCGGCCACCACCTCCTTCGAGGGACCCTCGCGAGTTACAGACATAAAATTGTATCACAAATGCAGATTTAAATGGTATTCGTCTTAGTTTTTTATTTGTAATGCTGAAGTTATTCCATATAAATAACTGAGTTATACACAATTCATTTTTATTACAAGCTATTTGACATTGTTTTTTAAAACCTCATATGGTAAGTACAGATTAAGATTAATGTGTCAAAATTTATTGCATATTTTAAAGTATAAAACCATTTTTAAAAAATCCTAATTCCACAAATAAAGTTCTATTCTAATTTTTAAAACAACTGTGACTGATTTTTAAATAGAAATGTTTTCAAGCCAGTGTGCTGGGTGAGGTCTTCTAATTCTCAAGACAATCTTAAATTTATATCTGATGAGCTAACCACAGTCAATCACCAGAAATCTGGTTGATGACCAAAAAAAGAAAAAGAAATCTGGTTGATGGCGAAATACAGACAAAAAAAGTAACAAATAGACTAGGTTTCAGACACACTGTTGCACGTATCAGAACACTGTTTAGAGCAGTGTTCCTGACAGACAAGGAGTTGTTTCTGAGTGCTGAGAAATAAGTTGTCTTTTCCTCTTCCTGCCCAGGCTCTGAGAGTGTCCAGTTAGAAGCTTGTTGGTGTGATTGGCTTTAGCAGAGCACACTCTGGGTGTGTCTGGGAGGGTCATGGAGGCTGACCTGGGGCCTGTGTAGGTCTCTGGCCCTTCCTCTCCAGGGCTGATCCCTGCCTCTGCTTCCTTGACACCACAAAGTAAGCAGCTTTGCTCCATTCGCCCTTCCACACATTTCTACGTGGAGCCAGCTGACCATGGACTGAACCTCTGAAACCATGACCAAAAAGAAACCATTTCCTCCTTCAAATTGTGTGTGTCAGGTGTTTGGTCCAGCAACCAACACTGACTGCTACAGAAGAGAATCCACTCCACCCCACCCACCCCCAGGAAGGTGCTGCTCCAGCTGCAGGTTCCTGCCACACAACAGACCTTCACTCTGAACCCCGGGATCCAGGCCTCCATCCTTGCTCCCACAGTTCCCATCCTGACCAGACAGGACGTGCCTGCAACCCACACATCTATTCCACACAGAAAGTCCCTGCTGTCCTGCCTGGGATATTCATTTTACGAAAGATGTTAAACTTCAGGACCCCTGAAAAAAGGGTCTTATAGAGCCATGTGTGTTTTCCTTGTAATCTGAAGATCATCGAGAAACTCTCCAGGCCCAGCTCTGCTGTCTCCACCCCAGACTGTATCCTCTACAGCCTACCAAGTACCACACGTACCACTGCTCCCCAGTGCAACCTGAGCAACCCTAAGCCGATTGCTGTGCCATGTGCGAAACAAACTTTGTGGCATCCAGAGTGCAATCGTAAAGCCTGACCCTACTGTGTGGGCACAGCCCACCTCAGCTATGGATCTGTGTCCCGGCCTCCTTTGGGCTCCTTCTGCTCCTCCCTGCAGGCTGCTCCATCTCCCCATTATGCAGACACCTCTGGGCCAGTTCTGCCTGAAGTCTCTCACCCTCATTTTTACCTGATAAATTACCCTCTTTGGGCATGGCACAGCATTTGAGCAGGAACAGCGTTGCACTTAAATGTTTATATAATTTTCTCCTACAAACTCTCCCAGCTTGAGGATAGAAACTACCTGTTTTTTCTTGAATGTTCCTTTCCCAACATAAATATTGGGTGAATGTGAACTTGGCTGATGAGCACTGCTTGTGATCCAGCACACAAGCACTGAGCAGCTGCTGTGTACCTGGAGCTGTGCAGTAGCAACGCCAGGCAGTGCTGTCCCAGGCAGACACCGGGGCATCAGTGACCAAGCAGAGGGGGTCTAGCTCTATGACACTTTGTGGGTCCCTGTGACCCTCACAGGAACTCAGGGAGACTCCACTACAGCCAATCACCTGAAGCCACAGCACAGACCCAGGGGCTCATGAGCCACAGCCAGAAAGAAAAGCTGTGGAATTCAACAAATGGACATCTATTTTCTTTTGAAACTGCCACAAACTTACAGCTTAAAGCGCTCCCCTCCCCAGGCCACAAGCACACAAGGCAAACGCTTACCGTGGTGTGGCACCCCGCTGGACACTGGTATTTCTGTCTCACAGTTCCTTGTGTCAGAAGCCCTCATGAGTCTCACAGGCAGGCCAGGAGTCAGCTGGCCAGGCTCAGTTCCTCACCTAAGATCGCTCAGCATTGTAGGCCCAATCCCAGCAGCACGGTCGGAAGTCCCTGGCTTGCTGACAGCGGGGGTCACATTCTCACACCACCCGTGTTCCTCTCCATCTTTCAAGCCAGCAGTGTGTCTGTGCTTCACATCTCCCTGGGCTCCCCCTGCCACCAACTGGACAATTCTCTGCCTTCACAGCTTCCTCGACCAGCTGTGGCCACCCGGACAACCTGGTGAGCCATGCACGGGCGAACACCATCATGGTGTCGCGGGAAGTATGAAACATGAAATGTGATGTCTCCCCACCTGCTAACTGTATGATACTCCGAGTTCTTGTTCTCTAGAAATCGAAGAATGAGCCCTGAGAGTGACAGAGGTTAAGAGTAGGAAGATATTTATTGACAGGAAAGCTACTGAGGGGCAGGAGGGGTCCCCAGTGGGTAGCCGGGGACCCCACTTTACAGAGGAGTTTTATAGGGTGAAGCCCACGTGGGTACAACATGGCCACAGCCATGATCATCCAATAAGGTTACAAGCACAGTCACTTAGGCAATCGTGGTCCAGCTGGGAAGTGAGTCAGGTAGCAAGCAGGGGTCGGTGGGTCCAGAGGTCTCCGGTCACCCCCAGGGTAGTCGATGCCTATCTGTACTTCACTAAGCCCAGTTCGTTGGAGAATCATGTGGGTCCGGTCATCCTGTCTCCATCTCAAGGCCTGGTTTTCCGCCCACGTGCAGCTGCGGTGTGTTTCACCTTTGTCCTGGCCCTCCCAAGGACTCACCCCTGTCTGGCTGCCTTTAATATGTCTTCTTAGCTCATCTGTCTATAATAACAGGAGGAAGACCTTGTCGACTCGCAAACTGCAGGGGTAGGGCGCGAGACAGCTCCTGGGTCTCCCTAAAAACTTACCTCCTGCAAAAGGAAAAGATGGAGAAGCGAGGTGCACACCCTGCCCGAAAAACATGTATGAGTCTCATTTTACCGTGTGCAGTGCGCTGCTGTTCTTTGGCAACGGGAAGCCAGAGAGATGAGCAATGCCGACGTTTGCCTGAGGGTTTAGCCTTAGCGGCTGTGAGTTCATGAGTCCAAGTCGGGTGCCCCAGCCACACTGCGGCTGCGTCAGCCTGAAATTAGACTCAGCTCATCCTTACGGGCTTCCTTGTTCCACAGAGAGCTGAGAGGCCTCGCTGCTCTTCCCCTCTGTTCATTTTCCAGTGAAATCATGTTCAAAACTGTGAGAAGCCAAGAAGGGAGGGAAGGGCTCGCGGCCAGAGCTGCTGCCCATGTCTCGCAAACGTGTTTGCTCGGGTTCCAGGTCTCCAGGGGGAAGGCGGGGGCCTCCAGCACCCGGCAGCTGCAAACCCACCGCGATCACGACTCTGCAACAGGGTTCTCCTGATGGGATAACCAGAAAGTAAACCCCTGATGCAGGTTCGTGGGCGACACTCAATCCATTATGTAGGTTCTGATTTAAGTTTTCTTCCGAAAAGTAATCAATCATTACCAAGGCAGATCCCGTGCCTTCGTGAGAGTAGTTTTCTTTAACACATATGTTTTATAAATGAGAACGTGAAGCATATTCTCCCAAACTAATAAGAGGTGATGAGCACAGTGAACCAAAGATAAGCTCAGTTTAAGTAAACAGGGTTTCCATTCATGCTGGGCTTGAAAACACAGCCCCGATTGATGATTTTGCTCCGAATCAGTCCCTGGCCTGAGTCCAAGCTCAGCATAAATATTCTCCCAGACCTGATGACAGTGAAATATCTTCTGTTTGGCCTCCGAAGGGATAACCAGGCCCTTGGTGGTGAATGCCTCACTGCCAACCACGCTTGCTTTTTTAGCATTGCTGTTTGTTGTAAGGGTGTAAAGCTTCCAAGTGAGGCCAGTGGTGTGTGGTAAAGCTAGGAGGGATTCAGCACTGCTTTATCCTTGTCCGTCTCTTCAACAGAGCCTGAGAGAAAGGGAGCTCTGTGAAGTCAGTCACTGCTAGGCTCAGGGCACCCACCCTTGCACACACTTGCTCCAGTCCCATCTGGGGACAGAGTGAAAGGACTCTGGCATCCAGTTCTAACTGTGGCCTTGCCGGGGCGGCGTGGGAAAGGGCCTGGAGGCGTGCTAAGATGCATTTGCGATCTCACCCTGAGGCGCGTCCAGCACTGTCCAATGGAAGCATCATGCAAGCAGCATGCGTAATGTTTCACCTTTCAGTGGTACTGGGCATCGGACCCAGGAAGTGCTAAACTACACCCCCATCCCTCTTCAGTTTGTATTTTGCAATGGTGTCTCACTGTTTTGCCCGGGATGAGCTCAAACTTTCAATCTTCCTGCCTTAGACCAAGTACCAGGGGTCTCAGGCATGCACCACCATACCTGGCCAATTCGTGATTTTAAACTTCCTGGTAGTTACATTCTAAAAAGTAAATACATGAAATTGATTGTGACAATGTATTTGATTTAACCCAGCATATTTAACCCAACATCATCCAACAAGTAGTCAGGCAATCAATATAAAATGACTGATAAGCTCTTTTTCACTTTTGGTGCTAGGTCTTCCACAGCCAGTCTGTCTGGTGCACACTGCAGTCTCAGCACAGGTGGCCACACGGACTCAGTGCTGCCGTACTGGTTGCCCTGGAGTCCGAAGGCATTGGGCCACATGGAAGCAGGCAGCCGCTCAAAGCCCTTCCGTCCCGGGATTCGCCAACGTGGCTTCCCTGGGCAGCTTCAGGATGGGGCGGAAGTGCTCCTAGGACAGCCGCAGAACCCAGAATCCAGTCGCTTTCTGGCAATTCCAAGATCCACACTGAGGAGCTGAAAGACGGCCAGCTGGAGGGAAGGGAGCCGTGGACCCTAGCAGCACACAGTTTTCGCTCCGCTCCTGGCGCAGGGCAGCCTGGCGAGAGGCTCCCGCAGTTCCGGGAAGTGGGTCAAGCCCGGCTCCGGCAGGGAGCAGGGCCTCCCTGGCGCTGAGTGTCCCATCGACAGCCACGGAGGCGGGCAAAGCCAGTGTGGAGAATCACAGGAGCCACACCCCAGGGCAGGAGCGCGGCCAGGCTAGCGAGCGGAGGG